CCCCCCCCCCTGACCGGCGAAAGTCTTCACCCGGATCCCCGTTCCTCAGACAAGGTCGCTGCTGGTGTGTCGCTGATACCTATGCGCTCGACGACTTCGGTGTGCTCAGCTTCACAAGTATCACAACAACACAGCCTTGACAGGGTGGTTCCATGTTCAACAACTGGTACGCCGCTGGCCCTTCAGTCCTGTAAATTTCCTTTGCTTTCTAGTGTGATCGTCAGATTCAACATTACCGCTTCTTTGCTTGCTATCTCAAGTCTTCCCGTGCAGCGATCAAGTCTCCAGCCTGTCTTGAGCGTGTCACCGGCGCGTCAAGCATGCTTTCTGCAGTGCTCCGTCTTGTCTACGTAATCCGAACCGGGTACGACGTGCTGCATGCACCGGAAGGACTGTGGGGATGACACCTTGAACCGGTGGTGTGTCCCCGGTAAAAGACTCTACAGATAGCTTGGTCCTGTTCCCGCTCTACCCGTCGCAACGTTCTTGACTATTGTGCCACTGAGATTATACGATGAGCTCCGAGTGGCATCTACATCCAAGCTGACGTCCAGCAATGGATGCCGTCCAAGAAGGCGAAAGCACCATGTCACGTGTTCATCGTTTCATCTGCCACCATCCCTCTCTACCCTCAGAGTCTTAATCGATTACTAATCCGATATGGCGGATTCACTCGAAAGCTTCCAAAGAACTTGTTCACGAGAACGCTCTCAAATTCCTGGCGAGGCCTTCGAGCATCGGAAGCAGCCGCTTTCCGAAGCCAGCTCACCGTAGAGAATATTTCACCCGCTCTATTGCCATTCAGCAAAGGCCTTTATCTATGATCGTTCTCGCATGCATCTTTCTCTCGCTCTGTCCTGCCTATTGTTCCCATTACTTGTCTATCGAATCTGTACCTGATTCTTACGCTGCTCAGATACCCGACCACAACCACCCAAACTTCCCCTCCACTCACTATAGCGCCACCCAACTCACCCCTATCCCACCATGGCGGATCCTCAGCCCCTCCCCTTCCCCCCAACCCTCCCCTCCGCCCCAATCGAAACCCTAACCCGCGTCCTCGACACCCTCTTCGAGCCCTCCGTCCCCCTGCACACCCTCTCCCTCCCCATCCTGCGCTCGACCCCCTTCCAATCCTACCCCGACCTCATCGCCGCGGTCGGCGTCCAGCTGATCGACCTCCTCGAGTCGAGCTCCACGAGCGACACGGAGTGGCTTGATAAAATTTTAGGGGCGCACCCGAGGCTAGGGGAAAAGAAGGTTGAGAGTGCGTTGTCGAGGGGGGAGCAAGCGGCTATGGAAGCTGCGGAGAAGAGTGGGGGAGGGGTGCAGGGGGATGGGGGGGATGGGGATCAGGAAGAGGTGGGGAGGGAGTTGGCGAGGTTGAATGGGCATTATGAGGAAGTGTTTCCAGGGCTGAGATATGTGTATGCGGACCGCTTTCTGGCTGGAAAGGGGAAACAGGGGTGGGTGTTGGTGGCTACTGCTAACTCCGGACTTTGTAGGGTGTTTGTGAACGGTCGCAGTCGCCAGGTCATCATGGAGGACATGAAGAAGAGGATTAAGCGAGGTGATGTTATGGCGGAGAGGAGGGAGGCGATTAGGGTGAGTTCGTACTCAGATTTTAGCCTAAACATCGGAGGAGTCCCGTGGATTGGAACCTATGCTGATGATGTCGGCAGGCTATGTGCGAGATCGCTGCTGATCGAGCCGGAAAGATTGGCGAGGAGATATACACCAGCTAAGTGTCGAGTGTCGAGTATGGGACCGCTGTGGAACGAGTACTTCGATGTTGTAGTGTTCTCATATGCCACGATCTTGAATGTGATTCGTCATCTTCAGCGCTTGAAGATCCTCACGTCCATGCGCCCTTGCTTTTCTTTTTTACCGCAACGCCAGCCCATGCAAGGCATCATAGCGAGTTCTCCCAGATATCGAGCATCCATCCAACATATCAATTTTTCCTACGCATCCCACATCCTCTTATCCGACAGAATCTGGATCAGGCAACCAGAGCAACAACTCCCTATCCGCCGAGCACAACATATTGAACCTCTGATTATAGCCCACAACCGCCCCCTTCCCTGGCCCTGGCAACTCCGCAAAAGGTCTCAGCACCTTATCCGGCGCAGGATCCGCGCTAAGATCCCACACCAGCAGACCATCCTCCCCAGACCCGCCGACGAGGTACTTCCCGTCCGGCGTGATGCACATATCGCCCTGTCCCGCGACGCCGTTCGCGGAGAAGTCCCCCGGCGCTTTGCGACCAGAGTGTCCGCCTTTTCGGACGCAGAAATGGGTCAAGGCGCCCTCGAAGGCTTCGAGCACGAAGTGGCCGGGCCCGGATGTGCCGATCAGGATCTTCTGCCCATCGTTCGAGAACTCGAGACGTGTCCAGTCGTGCCCGGTCGACTGGGGGGTGTAGCGCTGCTCGTCGCTCTGCAGATCAAACGTTGCGAACGGCGGCTTGTCGTAGTTGCGTATATCATACAGCATGATGGACTGAGTGGGCGGAGATGCGATAGCGATGACGGTGGCAGAGGGGTCGTAGGCCGCGAGGTAGGGCGCGTGCAGTTTGAGGTGGCCTTGGCTGTGCTGGGAACGCACATCCCAGAGCCGCACTGTGTTGTCGGCGCTGCAGGAGAGGAATTGGTCGGTCGAGGGGGAGACGGTAATGCAGGTCACGGTGTCGGTGTGGCCGCGGAAGTAGCGGATGTAGGAGTTGTCGTGGGTGGAGAGGTAGCGGATCGTGTCTGTTGTCGGATGGGATATCAGCTGCGCTGTCTGTTATGAGCTGGAACTGCAGGGCACGTACCGTCGACTTTGGTGCTGGCGTAGATGATGCTCTGCGCATGGTGCGAGAAGCGCGCGAGGTGCACGCCGTACTTCTGGCTCTTGAGCTCTTTCGCATGCTTCCCTTCCTTGCAGTTGTAGATTTGCAGCGTGTCGTCGTCCCGCGCCACGATTACGAGCTCGCCGGAGTCGTCGAAGTCCAGAGACGTTACGGACGTCGTGCTCTTCTCGGGCTTGAAGCGCCGAGTGGGCCGGAAGCTGGCTATCACGTCGCTGATTTTGTTGCTCGGCGCATCTTTGCCTGCGGGAGGTGGAGGCGGTGGTGGTGTCGCGTCGGCGGCCATGGCGGAGGCTTCAGGTGTGCGGGCGGGGTCCTGGCATAGCTTAGAACGGTTTCAGCTTGTGAGGTTTACTGCTACTGCGGAAAACGTATCCCGCCCGCCGGGTTTGGTGTTTTCGCAGAGCTTGGGTTCTCATCAGAGCTTCCCTCGCCGATTTTCAACCGGCCTTTGCTCCGGTCTCGGCAGCTCTAAGTCCGTCAATACCCAGTGCTTCCCGGTCAACATTTTTATGAAGCTCGCAACTACTCTAATACTTCAATCTAGGTCGCTGGCGCATTTCTCTCTCATCACAGGTTTCTCTGGTAACGCCGTTCAATTGTGAACCCACTGCCGCGCCGCTGTAGCTACACAACTTCGCCCGCGCGTGGGCAGGGAGTAAAATGTCCACGGGTATAGGGTATGCGCCGGTGCAGCAGAACCTCGAATGGATGGACTCGGCTGATATTTCTGCTCAGCTCCTTCATTGCAGGCGGCATCGCAGGATGCGGCGCCGTCACCGTCACGCACAGCTTCGAGACCGTCAAAATCCGATTACAGCTCCAGGGGGAGCTACAGTCGAAGAAGGACGCGCCCCGACTATACCGAGGCGTCTTACACGGTGCAAGTGTGATATTGAAGAATGAAGGGATGAGGGGTCTACTACGAGGGCTGAGCTGCGGAGTACGCCTTGTGCCCAGCTACAAGCTCGAAGGCAGTCAAGGAGCCGTCACGCTAACGGAGGGCGCGCTGTTCACAGTACATCTACCAAATGACCCTCAACGGCTGCCGCCTCGGTTTCTACGAGCCCCTCCGCAAAAGCCTCACCACCGCCCTCTTCAAAGATCCCAACGTACAGTCCTTCGGCGTCAACATCTTCTCCGGCGCCGCATCCGGCATCCTCGGCGCCGCGGCCGGCTCGCCCTTCTTCCTCGTAAAGACGCGGCTGCAATCCTACTCCCCTTTCCTACCCGTCGGCACGCAGCACCACTACCGCAGCGCATGGGACGGGCTGTCGACGATCTACCGGAACGAAGGCGTTAAGGGGCTGTATCGCGGCGTGGGACCGGCAATGGTGCGGACAGGGTTTGGCAGCTCGGTGCAGCTGCCCACTTATTTTTTCGCGAAAAGGCGGCTGGTCAAGCATCTGGGCATGGAGGAGGGCCCGGCGCTGCATCTTGCGAGCAGTGCGGCTAGCGGAGTCGTGGTCTGCTGCGTCATGCATCCGCCGGATACGGTCATGTCGCGCATGTACAACCAGACTGGGAACCTGTACAGCGGCGCGTTTGACTGCTTGTTCCGTACTATCAAGACGGAGGGGGTGTTGGCCGTGTATAAGGGGTTCTTCGCACACTTGGCTAGGATATTACCGCATACGGTAAGCCTTATTTGGGTTGCTCTGCAACGCGGCGGGATTTGGTGAGGAATTGAGTGCTGACATTTCACGCAGGTCTTGACACTTAGTCTGGCAGAACAGACAAATAAAATAATGCGCCGGATAGAGGACCGTGTCCTTTCGAAGCCTCTAAAAGAGAAACTCTGACCCCGTGTGAGCCTTTCGTCTACGCTAGCTTGTACTATCTTATTGTACATATTTGGACTTCGGATGGTTTGGGGAGGCGAAGAGGGCTTTGGCGCGGTGGTCACATCACAAGGCTTGGAGCGGCCGGTTTTTATCAGCGCACTTTGTAGGCGTTCTGTCGAGAGCAGTGGGCGAGGGACCGAAAGTAGAGCCCGTTATAGGGATGTTGCTACCTGGGCTTCGTCAAGCTCAGGCCCCAGAAATGATGCGGATGTCATACTACTGCAGTCTGCGATCCACATCGATCATCTCAAAGACGCGTTAACCTTTTCCAGAGTATGAGGGTTCGAGCGGCCAGCCGGTGCCCAACCTGAAGGGTCACTCTCCGATATTGCGTGTTCTGCAATGGGCGGACTGTCCCGGGCAGAAACCGGCACACAGTTTTCAGACACCTAATCCGTAGAAGCTCCGGCAAAATCAAATATCTGCGGCATCTAAGCCTCTAATATTTCCCAAACATCGAGCATGCTGCTCCCGGATTATTCTTGACCGAGTTATTGACCCCCGCATGAGCTACCAGGCAGCACACCAATTGGAGTCGGGAGCCAGAAACCGGGCCACAGGTGCCATCCTGGGCGAGTGTGCTTCGCTGCGCTGTCGGAAGGTGCGAATTTTTCTTCGGATACGTCTGCAACTCTAGCTTCTTCTGTGAAATCCCCATCGCCATTGCTAGCAACAGAGTTCATATGAGCACTGCTATCAACGTCCGCTATGTCTTCATCCTCTGGGTCTCCGAATGAGAGCTTGCATGCTTCGAGCGCAGGCAGCCATTGCTCCTGAAAGTCCTCATCGGAAAACTGGATCAGTTCTCCGGCAAGTCGTAGAGTCCAAACATCGGGATTGAGGATGCAGGTCTCAACGACGGATCTTTTGAGGCTTCTGACAGCTATCCGATGACCTCGCTCCAAGCTGCGCCACAGAAGTATATCTAACACCCACTTGTACATAGCTTCGTGGCGAGCATCGTTTTCTGCGTTTGAGTCTGAAGGCCGAACCAGATAATTGACCAAGTAGAGTACCAGAGTTTCCAAAAACTTGTCCAGACGCAGGGCTAGGGCGGTGAGGAATCCGTTCCAGACTACGAATGCGCCTGCCATACTGCTGCCGATCCTATCGATGCCTGGTAAGCAGAAGGAACAGCAATAAGGGAGACGAGACTCACGTCTTGTCGGATGGAATGATCAGCCTGTCGTCTACGAGGACAGTCACCAGCACCTGAAGCGCCCCCGCTCGGGTTTCGCATAGCTCGATACATTTCTTCGAAGTAGGCTCACAGGCATTGTTGACATGTTTCGTCACTGGATCTTTCTTCAACTCGGTCCGACGTTCCTTCACGTAACTCTTGAGGATGACACGGAACTCTTCTCTGAGCGCATCAACATCTATATGCGTCGCCTCTCGGGGTCTGTCTTCATCAGTTGCACTGTGTTTTGACCTGTCCAGCGTCGACCAGTAGACATCCCAAAGCCAAGCGAGCGCTTCTCCAGTGACAATCTGCAAGCGCTGCAGAGTCGGAAGGTGCGAGTGCGTGATCTCATGGCGCATGTCGACGAAGTGCGTAGGCATGTTCAGCTCTTCTGCCATGTCGAACATAGACATTTTGAATGCTCTGCCTTGCTGCGTGTCACAGTAGCCCGTGACAAACCTGGTACGGCAGTAAGCCTCTGCCCTTACGGAAACTTTCTGGTGGGGTTACCTGGCAAATGCAGTACTGTAGACGGCGCGGACGTCGAATACAGAGTTCTTTGCCACATCGTGATGGAGGATCGCATCAACCAGTAGAGCCGTAGACTCGACAGCATGCGGTACATGTCCTCTTAGCTTCCAAACATTGGTCTGATGCAAGCGTTAGAGCAGGATTGCAGGATAAAGAGGTATATCTTTCGCACCAAGTCAACTGCACGGCGCAGCTCGGCCGTTTGTCGTCGGTCTTCATTGCCAGCGAGGCCGGACGGATAGAATCGCTCACGGACGACAAGCAGTTCAGATACATCCCGCCATGGCGTGAGGCCTAGTTGCACCATAGTAAAGCAAGGTTCGCATGCGGGAAGTTCTGAAGTCAAGAATTTAATATCACGTGCTCGGCAAGTTAAGCTTAAGTTTTGGTCCGCCGGCTTGCTCGTTCTGGAGTTCCGTGATACTTCGGTGTGGTTCAAGTGTCAGCCTCCCAACGTGTGATCTCGACCAGGCCTCACGATATTTGTCAAAAGAGTCCATAGTCAGTGCTTGTTTAATCTGTCAATGCTTCTATGGAGAATAGGCCGGTCCCACCACCATCAGCCAAGGATAATGCTAATAACAGCATTGGGTATCGTGTGTGAACGCCTTCAAGATCTTAAACCCCACATAACACTAGGGCTATTCTAAAAATCCAAACCAAGCCTGAGTCTAGATCCAGCCATCCCCAGGGACGGAAAAGAAATTCTACAACCATCCATATCCGAAATTCGTGCCCTGCGCGGCAGACTGCTTTAAGGGTGGGTACCACCACTCGTTCGTGTACGTCTCGTCATCGTCAAAGAAGAAGCTTTGGCCAGAGAGATCCGGCATCAGCTGATTGCCAGTCTGCACAGCCCATGGCTGGTCTTGAGCGGCTGGCGGCTCATCCGGGCTCTCATCGTCTGAGCTTACGTTGTCATCTTCGTCGTCCTCGTCCGCTTCCGGCGGTTGAAACGTTTCTTCCAATTTCAGTCCTTTACCGGTGCTCGGTTGTGCACCGGTGAGGAGAAAGGACTGGGAGCTGTCCGGCAAGTCATAGAGGCCCATGCCAACGAGTTCCTTGCCGGTGTCGTTCCCCTCGGAGTGGCCTGGAGATTGCATGATGATGTTCGTATCGTCGATCGGTCGCTGTATTGGGAGAAGATTCGGCGATGCTTCTTCGCCTGGAGTGTGGGACTGATCTGGCTGGGTCCAGGAGTGGAGCGGCCAATCCGACGAATAAGTTCGAGGAAAGGAGGTTGGCTGCTGCGCATACACATAGGTGGGTGCTTGTTGCGCCATATCTGAAGTCCAAGTCTGAGACTGTATGGTTGTGTAAGGATTGCTCAGCGATTGCTCAGAACCCATTGACCCTTGTCGCTGATCAAAATAACCCCAATCCTGGTTGTTACTTAGGTTCAGATCAGGACCGGTTCCAAAGCTGAAGTCATGCTGGAAATGCGCGGGGTTTTGCATGGTTGGCAGAAGTGGTAATGAGTCGTTGATATTCGGTATGTGGATTTCCGAGTACTGCGAGGTTGCAGGATGCCAGCTATATGGCCGGGTCGTATATGTTCGAGCCCTCATCGCGCTGTCTTGATGTTGTACAGGCCCGTTCCCAAACATCATGTTGTAGTGGTCGTCTAGAGTCACATGCTGCTTTACAGCTGTGGTCGTTCTCCTCCTCTCAAGACCCTTTGGGCTGTTGTGACTGCTTCGCGGTTTCTCTACCCGTGCGGAACGCCGACTTTGACCAGCTGTGTACGAGCCCGAACCCCGAGAATGCCTGCGCGACAGCTGCGATAAGGCCATCCGGGTCGAAATGTCACGCACCGGAGGGTCATCGCTCTGATCTAGAGGGGCTGTCATTGTGCCTGATTTGCGTGCTCAGGACCTGTGAGGAAGTGTCGATGGTGGATACAGAAATGTGGGTTGTACTGTGAAGAGAGGCAATTACAGTCGCTCTCAGAAGGTTTCAGCCTAGACATAAGACTCAACTGATGTTGCATGTAGCCGAAGGACGACGGACATTTGCCGAGCGAGGTTACTGTTCGATGGAATTTTCAAGGACGTGGTGCATGTTAGGCCATGCCTCTATTCCTCATAGCTTGTAACAAGTGCCACTCGGTGCGCCTGATTGGCAGGGGCAGTCCAAGTAGGGGCAATAGGACGGTTTGTTCGTCCCAAAGGGCCGGTGTGGAGCGAGGAGCATGGTTCGAGGCTGAAGTGCACATGTTGATCTTCAAGCCATATTGATAATGCCACCGGAGCTGGAGCTAGCAGGCACTCCGTAAGCGCCAGAGTGCGAAGAAACCTGCGGCAGGTGGATCCTGCGAGGTAAGGTGGTTTTGGGTGAAGGTGCATGCGCACGGCTGATGACACGGGTATGTATCATGGCGCAACGGAGATCCACACCGTTTGTGGAAGTGGTTGAAGACGGGAGACGAAACCACCACGTTCTGGCGGTGGTGGCAGGACGAGGAATAGGAGACGCCGGCCGTTGCATGCCCTGGTTGAGAGTGGTGGAAGCGCCTGCAACACCATCACCATCGCTGCAGAGGCGGTCAAGCGAATCTTAGTGCGAGCAGTTTGGGGGTTCGCGCGCCTCCGGATCCTGGGACAAAGGCCGATCTTGCATAGACACTCGGAGCTCCAAGAAGCGACGACCCTCCGCGTTAGCCGCTAGGGCATTCGTGCTGGACGCTGTAGGGAGTGGCTGGCTAGGTACACAGCGTCCACGCAATCATACGGTGGGGATGATGAAGCAGAGCAGGGTGTCTTGGGGCGCTCGCTACTACTGGGCCAGTCTGTGACAGCAGGGCAGAGGATCTTGCTGGAAGACCGGGCTGCCAGGCGGAAGGAGCTGCGGAAGCTTGCTGTTGGCTTTCGGTTCAAGAATCATCCTCAGAATCATCCTGAGAATCATCCTGAGCGAGCTAGCCGGGGCAGATCGCGTATCACTCCGCGATTCGATTTCCCTTTACCGAACGGTCTTGCCAGTTTCCAGAAACGCCCTACGCTTGCGTCCATGCGGCGTCATGGAGCCTTCCTCTGAACCTGGTACTTCTCCGGGCCAATGCATGTGGGTGTCATAAACGGCGAGGGATGCGCAGCAAGATTGCAGCAATAAGGGACGATGGGGCAAAGACCAGTTTCAATAATGCAGCACCAAGGCGCAACTATTCGACAAGGTCGGCAAATCGGCGGCCAATCACAGCCAATGTCCCATCTCAAGGAGCAATGGCTGGGAGTCTGATCGTGAGATCGCCAGGTGGCCTTGTCGGCGGAATCACTGCGAATCCTTCGGATGGCTAGTTTGGAACACTCACAGCCTCTCGAGAGATCGTGCGTTGAACATCTCGTACACACCATCCCGAAAATCCCACGCAGCACCTGATCAGCTCGGGATAATGAAGCCCTACTGTACACGTAGACGCAGGAGCGGCCACTGGTTCGAGAGCGCATCTCCGCCAGAGTCGTGCACTGCGGTGCGTTGGGGTTGGCCAAAAACCTTGCGCAGTGCACGCCTAAACATCCTTAGGGGCCTGAGTTAGCGAAGGCCAGTCTGATGGGCTGAGACCGTGACGTACGCCTTTTCTGCAGCACCAACGGCAAGACTGAAGTGCCGTGCTGAGCCATGCGCAACTTCGTCCCTTGCCGTCTCACGTCCCGGGGCGCGATCATGCAGTGTCTGCAGTCTTTGGCCGGGCGCTGTTGCGCTCACGATGCAGCAACCTTGGCGGGCTAGGGCATGCTTCCGCGAATTCTCATCTGTCTGTCCCAACTTCGTGCTCCCGAGGCATGGAGAGGCTGAGCTACCAGCCGACCCTTGCACCTCTGCCGCAGATGATCGACGGCGCGTTGGCCCATGGGATCTGGAGAAGGACAGGGTTCGTTGGAAGCATCCGAGCCGCTGGAACCCCTGTTTGTACTCAGACCGCGGACGGGGTGCTTGGGCTGTACTGGAGTTAAGTACCTTGGCTTTCGTCCAGTAGCCGGTCTCGTAAACGTCCTTTGTTTGCTTCCTTGCTTGGCTGCTACTTGATACTGCACTATGGCATGCCACAGCGCGCCGTCCAGGAGGTGACCCATAAAAGGAAACAGCCGGCTCATGCTACAAGTGGTCATTCCGTAAGGCCGGCGTGATCCTGGGGTTTAACATTCAAGACCCTGGCGATAAGGAAGGACACGGTCTGCTCACAGCTTTGAACAGGCCTTAAATCGGCGCTAGTCGGCGCGTAAGAAATCCGGACGCTGCATGCTTTCAAACCACCGCGCAAGGGGACGCGGCGTGCCGAGAGATGATGTCTTCGATACAGGGGCTGGTGAAATAAATTATATCCGATCCATGTACGCCTTCGCCCAGACCGGCCACGGATACTTTTCCCATCAGCTGGCCCGGTAGGATCGTTGATATGCACTGGAACAAATCTCCAGCTCCAACTGCTAATGGGCATGCACGGAAAGGAATCAGCGGGGTGCTCATAACCGGAACACCTTCTGCGCAAGGCCCTTCAGCCAATGAAAGCAGCTTCCTGCAACAATACGGTACTTAGGCAGTTGCGGCAGCTAATGATAGTGTAGCTGCAGGTGACGAACCGCGGTAAGCAGCGAGGTCCGCTTTACTCTAACAAGAGTCATTTATCAAGCTCACAACGCCCTCGGCGACGCCACATAGAACCCCTTTCGTGCGATCCATGGATTTTGGAGTGATGGCGTCTCTAGGGCTCCCGCTTGATTGCCTGTTGTCTGCATTCTCCATTCGGCGCTCTTCTACTGCGCAGATAGCCGTTATGTCGTCCATCAACCACAGAAGGGAGCCCTGGACACAAAGACAAACTTCGTGCTGCTCGCAGCGCGGTCCTCGGAAAGACAAAGCACTCAGCTGAACAGATGAACGCGTTTGCCGTTACCCACGAATTCCCGCATCGGACCGTTTCTTGCCATGCAACCCCGTTTGTGCCAGGATCACCACGAGCACAAGCTAACGTCAAGCCGGACGACAACGGTGCAGCAAGCCAAAAAAATATCGCTCGCTTCGTGGAGCTCCCTTGGCTTGTCTGAGCCCGCCCTCTTGATGCTTGTCGAGCTTCTAGATCTGGTGCCGGCCACATGGCACCGCCACGCATGCGTCCTGGTGACGTTCAGGAGTCCGTCCTCCGCTAGCTGATGGGGATACGAAACTGCAGCTCAGCCATCGTCGTACTCCTGATGACCGATGAGCAGATTGGAACACCCTGGAAGATGACTTACCTAGGCAACTCGTTCACACGAACCGATCAGGTACTACGGTTGTACCTAATTCTGACTCTCACACCAGACCTCGGGCCGATGGAACCGATGCAGCTGACCACTGACAGGATGCTCAAACGGAGTTCCTCTGCGTCTCCGATCACCATCTTCTGCGTCTGCAGCATCAACGACAGAATGCCGTAAGCCCGTGTTTTCTCCGTTGTATCGCCATGTGGCGTTAAGACGCCTGCCGGGTTGATCGAAGAAGGTCTTTCATGGCGGAGTGGGTTTTCTCAAGTGCTTGTGGTACAAATCCAAACCAATCATTTCTTCATCACAACGTCAGAGTCATGGCTTGCGAACGGACCTGCATATTGCATCCACTGTTACAAGGAATCGTATCTGCAAATGCTGAACGTGGAAGGCATCTGCGGCAAAGGGTAAAGTCTATTCTCGGGGCAGCCGCGATCTTACTCACGGAACCTGTGCCTCGTGCCGTGTCTTGCTTGCTTTGCCTTTACCAAGTCGGAGACACGAAAACACTGAAGTCTGATTTACCGCTCTCCGAGCACGGTGCGTTACCCGCGCTATCCACAGTGCGCGCCCGAGTCGCAGTCGCACGCTTCCGAGTCACCTTGGCCGCGTCAACCCCGTGAACGTAAGTTATTCCACCGTTGGGGTCTACAGGATATGTTCAATAGACTGTTTCCAGAGGGACACGCTTTGCAGCCCATGGTCCGGAATAACATCTCTAGCGCAGCGAGCAATTGCGTGCTACTGCACTAGACTTTAATCTACTCGGTCTGGGCTCCGAAAGAGCCCGCTGTCCCACTCTGCGTGCTGCATCCGCACGCCTTGACTTTCTTCTCAGCGTCCACTTCCAGGTTCTTCGAAGACTGCATGACATGGACAGTCTCCACATTTGTGTCTGTTGCCTCGCAGGTACAGACTGCACAAGCTAGGTTAAAACTTTATTCCTATGCAGGTAATCCCGCTATCGTGAGATTCGTCTTTTTAGCATTGTAATTAAGACAGTGTAGGTAAGAGCAGCTCGAGAGGTTCTGTAGGTCATCCAGCAGATCCCAGAGGTGCGCCGACTCATCCAGCAAACAACCGTCAAGCGGTGTCTATCCCTCTGTATCATCACGCAGTGTTCAGTCCTAACAGTCCGAACTGGTCGCTCAGCCCTTGATGGTCTCTAGGAGCCCTCAGCATCTGCTTTCGACTAGGAGCAGTAGCCTAGTCTCGCCGTCAACGCCGTCGTTGTAGCGGGAACCTCCGAGCCATCTCAGACTGGCGACATTCTCGTCTGACATCCGGTCAGACCGCTCGTGATCAAAGTCTGGCTCTGAAGATGTCGTGGCATCCGGCAAGTATCGACTACCTTCGTCGAACTTGCAAAACACTTCCCCAGCTTTCCGCGCTTCCATTGTGGTTATCGTTCTTCCGTACCGCTCGACCCACGCTTCCATGGCTTATTGAGAAAGTGAAAAGAAAGACCTGCAGCCTCACTGGAGCCCGTAAGCGGCCTCATCAGCACCAGTCATGGATTGCCCGATACTGAACGTTTAGCACACCATGCGCTCTCGCGGAAAGCACTAACCGTCGGAGTGATGGCGGACCTCCCGAGCCTCTGAGCTTCCATACGAGGAGTTCAAGTATGTGCGAGCAGCAGGCAGCATACGGCGCGTGGACTACGGTGTGCATATCCACTGACAGCTATAATCCACGCTCCTGCCGCTATAGATCTTGCTTCCGACATAGCTTCGAGTGCTCTCCCTGATTGTGTGCCGTTCGTCCTCTGGCGTTTGAAACACTTGCAAAAACCACACTAAATCCTAGAAGGGGTATCACAACGCCAACTCCATGCGCCAAAAGCGCCCATCATCCTGAACGCGTCCTCCTGTATCTCCACACACAACAACCCACGTCCCCTCCCTCCCTTCCCCTCCCCACCCAACTTACGAAAACATCCGCCACCCCGTCTCCCCGCTCAAATCCAGCATCCCCTCCCTCTTCCACTCCTCAAGCAGCACCAACACCTCCACCCTAACATCCTCCACAATCTCATCCATCTTGATATCATTCCGATCGTACCCAAACGGATCCTCAAGCTGGCTGCCAATCTCCTCAATGCCGTATAGTGTGAACGCGAGCAGCGCCACAATCGGCACAGCGAGCCACCCCGTCTCCCGCACAAGGCTGAACGGCAAAATGCACACGTAGGCCGCGAGAACCTGCCGCGCGTGGATGAGATGGGCCACGGGGACGGGGGTCGTGCGGATCGTTTCCATGGCGCCGAAGGCGGTGGTCAAGGTGGAGAGTTGGACGCTTAGCTGCGAGGCGAGCGGGTGGTTGAACCAGCCGCGGTCGACGCCCCGCCGGACGTACGCCTCCACTATCACGGAGAGTTGCAGTGGGAGGCTTAGACCGGAGTCCTCGCGGCTGGTGAGCGAGGGCGGGAGCAGCGCGGTGTAGGAGGGGCTGTGGATCGTCAGGTAAGGCCGAACTGAGGAGGCGAGGTGAGTTAGGTGTGTGGGGAGCGTAGTGGGCGGCGAGGGCAGAGTGGTGGTGACGGGGAGCGGGGGCTGCCATTCGGCGCGCAGGTTGTGCTTTATGGCGTAGAGGACGGCGAGGAGGATGCGGACGATGTTCTCGGTGTCTGCGCGGTCGGCTTCGATCTCGTCTAGTGCTTCTTCTCGCGCTTGTTCATTCGGCAGTGCGGACAGCGAGGCTTTGGAGGGGACGGGGGAGCCGATCCGCCGTCCGCTGTTGGTGAGGAAGACGCGTGTCAGGTTCCGCACGCTGGTTAGGCAGGTCGTGAGACAGTTCCGCCCCTGCCAGAAGCGGTCATAGCTCGTCGAGTTGCGGAAGACGAGCATAAGGCCCACAACTATTGAGAGACTGGGCACGATACTCCCCGGTAATCCCAGGTGGCGGCGGAGGTGGTAGTTGGTGTAGACGACCAGCGCGGTGAAAAGCGAGTGGAGGAGGACGGGCAGCAAGATAGCGCCATGGACGGCGCCTTTGACGAAGCGGAGGGCCAGCGGCGCGGTTTGCGGCGCGATTGTTGGGTTAGGGGGAAGGTGGGAGTTCGGCGGTGGTGTCGGCCTGTTGGTAGGGGCTGCGAAGCGCTTCTCCGGAGGCCGGGTGAGGGGGTTGTGTGATTGAGCATTGCGACGACTGAACCAGAGAGCTCGGCGACAGCGACAGGCAACCGGTGCTACTGGAGCTACGCATTGTTGTGAGTATGCTGCCCCGCAACGGAAGGCGTCTACACGGTTCCTGGGGAAGAAATGCGGCTATCCTTGGCGCGGTCCGGCCCGTTGCGGCCTGCATCAAGCGTTTCTCTTGGGCTCTCCAGCGCGCTGCTCCAGTCGTTCGCCTTTTGCGCCCCCCCGCATCGCTCCTCGAAAGTCCGGGAAAAAGTCATCGAAGGTCGCCAAGCCCCGGTGTATCGAATCAGTCTATCATGGAAATTCCCACAGACCAACCTACAGAAGTAGTCGTCCTACCTGCAAACTACACCTCCGTGAATCCACCAGAATCGTTCTCCGACTCTCGGCGGGGCGAGTTGACATGGCATACGCTCTTCTCCACGCCCTCTACTCCAACCAGCGATATGTCGGCGGGTATAGCCGTCTGTCCTCCACGGACAGGCCGTCTCCATCAGCACCGCCATGCTCAAGCCGAGATTTACTATATACTCGAAGGCCGCGGCACTGTTGCGGTCAACGGAGTAGAACACCCGGTTGAGAAGGGATGTGCGATGTTTATACCTGGAGATGCGGATCATGCAGTGATCAACGACAGTGAGGATGAGCTGAAGTGGCTATATGTCTTTCCGACGGGGGCGTTCACCGATGTACATTACATGTTCTCCCATGAGGCGGAGAAGGCGAGCTAGATACCTCTGCCGGAGAGCTTTCGAGCATTCCACGCACCTTGCCAGAATATGCCATCTCCAGTCATCGCATAAGTCTGTTTGTCAACGTCCTAGCATAGATACGATTATGTCCGAATACCAGACGACATAGCGCAAATCGAACTGGCGGTTGCACTGACAGCCTATAACCATCTTACCAGATGCATACAAGAGTCGAGTCCTGCTCTCGCAAGATTGCTAGTCGGGGTGTGGTTGTTCTCGCATGGGTATGACCGGAACGTTGTAGAGGCCGACCTTGACAGCCATGCTTTATGGGTTGCGTGCACAACGAGGAGGCCCGAACCGATAATCATGCAGTACAATATGAGAACGGCTGCAGCCGCCTCGAGCGATTCCGAAGCCCTGCTGCGATCGATATGTAAATCGTGGCGAGCGTGCTGTGGAATACTTCATCGCCAACATAGGCGAGTGGGATAGCACCAGAGGACTCAGGTATGCCGAGAAGTGGGTTCTGAAGTATGCCATCGAAACAGGACTACAATAATAGTCAACTAGGTATACATACTGCGACAATGATATCCGTGATGATACAATTAGTGGTAAAGCAACCTTGGGGCGGGAAGACAACTATACTCTGTTAGTAGAGTCGTCAAACTTTCTGCCCTGCTGTGTGAAGGAAAGTCAGCGTCTTCACGGGCGACTAGCATTCCCTACATACAATGGCTCATACGACTTGCACAACCGGCAAAAGACAAGCGACTTGTAGGGCACATTCGGTCTGCAAGGTCGTCCGGCTGGTCTTTGGTTGAAGACCAAAAGGAAAGGCGTCCGCATATCCAGACGAGAGATATGCAAAGATAATGGTAGCCCGATGCGGGGGTCTGAAGTCAATGTTAGAATGAATTCAAGATTGCTTGGTCTCGAATTGTGAACTTACCGAACCCGCAACCTTGAGATTAAGAGTCTCACGCTCTACCGATTGAGCTAACCGGGCTGTTCTTAAAGACGTGGAGAATTTTGCAAATATATTACGCCGACGGTGCAGCCCCACTTCAGCCCTGGGACAATTGCCCCACTACTCTCGTTTTACTACCAGCTACAGAGCAACAGTAACTTAGATACTATACACAACGTCTCATCAATACCTTCAAGCTGGTCAGAATAGCTCATACACTGATCTGAGGCTGGCAACAATTTCAGTATCTTCGGCCTTGGTGAGTTCTCACGCTCTGACGTGCATCAAACATTGCCCTGGATTACATCAACGAGTTTGATGCGGCTAGGACCTCGCTCGATCAACATTGAAAGGCTCACACTCGGGTCCTTCGAGCTCATCACACGCGGCTCCCTCCAGACAGTGTGGATCTGTTTTTACCACTCGCATTTCCCCCATCGAGCCGGTAACGTCACGTACCGGTCAGCTTGAGGCCCTTTTGCACCCCGCCAAGACGACATAACGCGTACAAGGCTCCGTCAGACCTTTGGCATCATCGCGAAAGCGTGATTGGATATGGCAATGGACAGGAAAGAGTCTATGCCGCTGGACGCACTGACTCCGGAGACGCCCAAGGTATCCAGCATCCCCAAATATGATCCGTGGGCTTCAAGTTAACCTCCGCTCTGAGAGTGAGCCCGATGGCGGTACAGATGCCGGGGAGCTCCAGCATGCCCTTGAGGTGACCCTCCCAAATCCTCGAACGCCCTCCAGCCTCTGACTGCCGCAGGTCGTCTTCGACGCCGAAGCTGCCCACCGCCGCAAATCCTCCATAGTCGCCGCCACGGGTCCACGGCCCAAGGCCCACCGCATGCATACCAACTGCTATGTGCATTCGCTACTAGACAAGCAGGATGGCATCTACACCCCAAGATACGCACCGAACGGCGAGGACGTGGCGCAAGAACACAAGGCGGACAAGGATCCGAGTGGCTACTCGGTGTCGTTGGCGCAGTCGCGGATACTCACAAAGAAGCAGATATCGGACATGGCTTTTGGGATACGGGAGCTGGCGAAGAAGCTTGCTCATATCCGGCTAAGAATGGACGTGCGGAACGTGTTCGTCCTGACCAAGGCGCATGACGAGAGCTTGATCAGCAAAACCCGGGAGGTCACTGAGTGGCTTCTGAAGAAGGACAAGGCATACACAGTGTACGCCTCCGCAACCGCCATTCCGACATTTTCGCGATCTTGACATGGACGTTAACATGGATGTTTCAGATATGTTGAGGAGACCCTCAAGGACAACTCGGCCTTTGATGCATCTACGCTCGTCGATGTCGACCCATCATACCAGAAGCGGCTCAAATACTGGACGAACGAGTTGTGCCACTACAAGCCTGAAACGTTCGACATCGTCTTAGCAGTAAGTCAGTCTTCTGCCGCTATTGTACACCACTGACCAGCCGCAGCTTGGCGGAGATGGTACTGTACTATACGCAAGTTGGCTCTTCCAGCGGATTGTGCCCCCAGTGCTTGCATTCTCCTTGGGCTCCCTCGGGTTTCTCACAAAATTCGACTATGGGGCTTTCCCGGATATCCTCACACGAGCGTTCAAGGACGGCATTACAGTCAGCCTGAGGCTGCGCTTTGAAGCCACTGTCATGCGGAAACAACAACGCGGAGACAAATACAAAACTCGAAGTCTCGTCGAAGAGCTCATCGGCGACGAAGGCGACGATGACCACACCCACAGACCCGACGGCACGCACAATATCCTGAATGATGTCGTAGTGGATCGTGGACCGAATCCAAGTATGCGTCCTCATGCATTCAGCTTTACGCGCCCACTGACATGGCGTAGCAATGTCAAGTCTCGAGATATTTGGGGACGACGAGCACTTCACCAGCGTACAAGCTGACGGCATATGCGTGGCCACGCCCACGGGCTCTACGGCATACAACCTCGCTGCCGGCGGCTCACTGTGTCACCCGGACAACCCTGTCATACTCCTCACAGCAATATGTGCGCACACGCTCTCGTTCCGGCCTATCATCCTACCTGATACCATCGTCCTACGGATCGGCGTTCCCTTTGACGCGCGGACAAGTTCGTGGGCAAGCTTTGACGGGCGAGAACGGTTCGTATCCTGATAGATCTTACGGCCAAGTTGTTGTGACTGACCTTTTCAGCGTTGAGCTGTGTCCAGGCGACTACGTCACGGTGTCCGCCTCGCGCTATCCGTTCCCGGGCGTCTTGCCGCTCGATAGGAAGAGCAAGGACTGGATCGACAGTATTTCGAGGACCTTGAACTGGAACTCGAGACAGAGGCAGAAGGCGTTTAAAGAGTGGAAGTCGTAGACTACTAGTGTAGCCAGCGGAACACAAATGGTGTTTTGAAAGACGATTGGGATGTTGAAGATGGCATGAGTGGGGCGTTGGCTATGGGTTGCTCGTTGCGGGAAGCTATATAACATTTGACGGAGGCATTGCTTGTCCTTCGGCTTGGAGTAATGGCATTCCAGCACGAACGAAATGCTTTTGTCGAACAGTATTGTTCTTGTTAACCACAAAGTGGCCTCCGCAACTTCAGCATTTGACCGACTACAACTTAGCTGCGGCAGAACTTAGCAGCCTCTCCGCAGCCCAGAAGCCTACGAGGCTGCGCTCACGCCTCCTCTATCCGGTACACTTCCGTGCCGAAGCCGAGACCCCTCCGCGGAATCTGCTCAACGAGGAGGCTGCTTCGCTTACTGCCCAGGTGCTTCAAGACAACAACTCATGTATAGGGAATTATGGCATCGCACAATCCTCTACGCCTCTCTTAAACACGCCTCCCGTTTTCAAAGGCATCACCGTATCAATCCTCGACGTCCATGGTGGTCACAGCAAGGTATTACTCCCTAGCACTGTCCGCGAAATGGGGCAGGGCTAGATTAATCGCACCCAGAATTCCAGACGCAGTAAAAGGTCCAGCTTCGACGTATATCCCTACAGACCGTATGGGCGCGGCGTCGCTGCTGCTGGTGGGTCAGGGAACTGGGGCGTGCCTGTGGGAGGCTCTGGTGACAAAATGTATGTACCTGATGAACTCGAAATGTAGAGAGATTTGAGTATGGCATTGCCGCTGAGACTGTCCTGGTGTTCATGACGACGGTTGTGAGAACACAAGGGTAAACAAGACAGAAAGTTAAGGTGCTGTGTAAGGTGATTGCTAGAGAGAAAATACATCTATTCACAGCGGAAGATATCGGACATCGCGGCCTCACGAGGCTCAACCCCATTGTAGTCGAGTTTAAGTCAGTTAAGGGCATCGTTTCCAGGCCTTGGCATCAAGGGCGGATGACGATAAACACAACACAGCACACCACAGCAGAACCCTCACATACAGCTCAGCAGCATGGCACACGCGCACCCACAATCGCGGCGAAAGACAAGATCCAATCCGTGTCTTGCTCAGAGCGGCACAAAGCAAGCGGCCTCGCCGAACGCTGTCATCTTATGCTAGTCCGAGGCTTAAGCGCCGTATTTTGTCCAGGTAAGCCAGATAGCTGCTGTCTAAGAGTGCGACAAGAAAGACGTATCAAAGAACATACAAATTCGTTTCTACCGAAACCGCTTCAATGCTAAGTCAGAACAAGCGCCGGCCAGAACGCTAAATGAGAATGAACCCGAACGTACAACGACTAATGCGATCAACGCCAACAACATGATGTTTTGCGAAGCGATGCAGAATGTGTGGCGCCAAGGCGTGCACAAGCGAGACGAATGCGTGGTGTGGATAGCTCATTATCGAGGTGTAAAACAAGAATCCCACAAATCCCAGCCTTACTCGCTAACTACAAGACAGCAAGCGTGGTGTCCACCAGCAGCGAGGTAGTGCTATCCATTAACCGTGGGATAGGCATCTTCATCGTCGGCATCAAGAGCCATCTCCCTCCTGCCGCGACCCGCGCTGCCGTCAAAGACAAACGGTCCAGCCTCATTACGAGGCGTCATAGGAAGTTCCACGCCCGAACGAACATGCTGAAGCTCGAGCGCATTGCCCAGCGAGCCAATGGAAATAGGTCGCGACGTCGAGAACGACTCCAGCGGCGGCTGCACTGTCACTGACCCATTTTCCGAAGTAAGATCGTCTGCGTCGTGATCCCGGAGCGAGACCCCGTTCATCTGTTCCTCTAGGTCCATGATACTAGTGTCGACCTCTGTGTTGGGGGACTGCACGCGACCATTCGTGAGCGGAGCTTGCGATGCCCGAGGAGTGAGCTGGCCGCCTTCGCTCTCTCGTCTCGACTGCTCTATCATTGCCTCAACTCGTTCTTCGAACTCCTCTTCTTCCAGGTCGTATTCTTCGACGTCGGCTTCGAGGTCCGCGACCGCGCGGCAGTTGGGACACAGGAAGTGCGGCCAGCTTGAGCCGGTGAGGACGGGGCGGATGCATTTGTAGTGCCAGACGTGCGAGCAGGGTGCTACGAAGAGCGACTGGCAGGGCTATTTGGGGGGAGATGGTTAGTGAATAGGAGCTTGAAGAGTGCGGTTGGGAGGGAGGAGGGAGCTTACTGCTATTGAGTTTAGGCAGATGGCGCATTCGGAGCTGTGAGTGGAGGAGGTGTCGCTACTCCTGTCCTTTCTCCCGCCTTTCGCTAGGGCGCGGATCTGGTCGTGTGTTGATTTGCTGGTGGCACTGTGAGCGGGATCCCTGGATTATTATTTCAAACAGACGTACTTGAATGTATTTAGTCTCTGCTGCCAACCCCTATTACACTCTATCCTTATCTTGACGCATCTAAAGATCATCTCCTCACCGCCTCGAAAATCAATACCAAGCTGCACCACATCCCCATCTTTGACAGGGTACGGCTGCGACTCCACCCCCGGCTGACTCAACCTGATATGGTTAAGAAAGGTGCCAGATGAGCTTTTCACGTCCTTGATGTACCACTGCGAGTTCGAGCACCAGAACTCGCAGTGTCTTCTGCTGACGACTTTGGACTTGAAGCCCACAGGAGCGGCTGAGGGTGTGTTTGGTGGTATTTCGGGCGCGTTGTCGCGCTCGGAGTAGCGCCCTACGCGGATCACGGCGTCGCCGTTTGGCAGGGTTCGAGAGATTGTGGGGAAGACGAGGGAGGGTCTGCTGGCGCGCGGGTCGTGGTGGGGGATGAAACGTATTGAGGGCGGTGGGGGCCGCTCGGAGGATTCAGCTTGGCCGTCTAGAGAGGATCCCATGTCCGCTCCGTTTCGTACGGTGAGTAGGGGTGCGGCGGTCTCTGCTCGGTTTCTCGTCATGGTTGATCGAGAGAGCGTCGAGGTACTGCTACTAAATGGGAGATACCGAGTCAGCAGCAGTCAATGGTCGCTGCGGAATCGTGGCGGAGAAGGATCACTTCTGCCGGGTACATGAAACCCTACCCGTTGGCTGTGGCCTGACTTGCGCTCCGTGATCCGGCCGCTGGTGCTTGCAAACTAGGTGGAGCAGGCTGCCTGTCACGGCTTGTAGATCGGACGAGACTATGGTCGGCAGTAGGCGAACTATCCCAGGGTTGGCTCCTCGTCCTACTCAGGGCTGGTCGACTGCTATTGGGAGAGGGAGAATGAGAGTGGAGGTGGTTGTGGGTGTAGCTTCTCAGATAGCTCAAGCCCCTTAGCCTGCCAGGTCTCGAGGGGGACGACGGCGAGGCTGGCGTGGTGTTTGTCGACGATAGCGTGGGAGCCGAGGGCGCGGCGGTCGTGAACATGCTCTACGGTCAAGCTGTATGGGACAGTGACCGGCCCGTACAGTATACTGGATGTGGAAAGACTGCGGCGCAAGGCTGTGTTGTGCAATGCACGGTACAGGCGTTCGTGGCGGAGGGGTTCAGGGTAGGGCGATTGACGGGCGGCGGTTGGTGGGACAAGCAGCGCTTTTGACGGAGAACGAGCTGGCTGGGAAGGCCGATCAATGGTTTGTAGCAGCGACGGCAGGTGATTTGGGGAAGACTTGCAGGCAGGATGGCTCGGGAGAGGGCGTTGTGGGTGCTGGGGAGTCCAGATGTGTTAGTGTTTCAGTGGCTGTGGAGTTGGGATAAGGGTCGCCTTGGTCGCTCGCTCGGCTTTAGCGACGTTGGCTGTGGATGACAAAAGCCTTCGTACTGTACGTCGGACGGCGCATGTATAATCGGCGGCCGACTAGAGGGGAGTTGACAGCTTAAGCTAAGAAGCTTGGAACACTTCCAGAGACGGAGAACCGTTGTCCGTTGTCTCGAACAGAGCGGAAGTCAGTGAGGCTGATAGTAGTCAAGTCAGGCTGATAGCCAAGTCAGGCTGATACATAGGTAGCCAAGTCAGCCCGGGGGTCTCAGCTGGGGGCGAGTCACGCGCCATCGTCCCTTGGTCGTAGGGCTGCACTGGCTGGCCTCGGGAGCATTGCGGCGGCACTCCGTACTGGTACTGGGTGCGCGATACTGTACTGTACCGCAACTTTGCCATATCTGAGCCTGGCCCATCGCCGTCCTCTCCGGACTTTCAGCACCCTTAGAGCCCTCCCCCCCCCCCACGGGGTACCTACCTATCCTGATATGCTGCGGCCACAGGGCGTAAGGGCGCTGTCGCGCACACTTCGCAGACTACCACACATCTCTTCGCCTTCATCGTCATGCAGCTCCAGACATCTTGCGACAGTGGTGCAACCAGAAGAGAAGGTAGACTTCGATCAAGATCTTGGCCAGACCGGCATCTTCTGACACGGATACAACATAGGATCCCGTTGAGCTCGACCAGATCACCACCCTTCCAAATGGCATACGAGTCGCGACAGAGGCCCTGCCCGGCCATTTCTCCGGCATAGGCGTCTACCTCGACGCCGGGTCACGATACGAGAATGACTACCTACGGGGGGTGAGCCACATCATAGACCGGCTGGCCTTCAAGTCGACCACCTCCCGGACGGCAGACCAGATGTTCGAATCCCTAGAGACACTAGGCGGCAACATACAATGCGCATCCTCGCGGGAGTCCCTGATGTACCAGTCCGCAACATTCAACTCCGCCGTACCCACTGCAGTCGCCATGCTTGCCGAAACCATCCGCGACCCGCTCATCACCGAGGAAGAGGTGCACCAGCAGCTGGAGACGGCAGACTACGAGATCGGAGAGATCTGGTCGAAGCCCGAGCTGATATTACCGGAGCTGGTGCATCTGGCAGCCTACAAGGACAACACGTTGGGCAACCCCCTGCTGTGTCCGAAGGAGAGACTCGGCGAGATAGACAGGTCGGTCGTGCAAGCCTACCGCGATGCCTTCTACAAGCCAGAGCGCGTGGTCGTTGCCTTCGCTGGCGTAGAGCACGAAACAGCCGTCAAGCTTACCGAACAGTATTTCGGGAGCATGCAGAAGAGCCTGGGGCCCGGCCTGACGGGTGTTGGCGAAGATACGGTCCTCTCACAACCCGCCTCCTCGTCCGTCAGCCTACCCGCCTCGACAACGACACAACCGCCATATCCGACTTCGTCGACACTATCCCAGGAACCCTCCCGCCTCCTATCCAAGATCCCCTTCTTCAAGAATCTATCCACCTCCGCTTCCCAGAATGCTTCCATAAATACAGCACCAATCTCACATACCCCGGACTTCCCACCGCCCTCTTACGACACTCCAAGCCACTACACAGGCGGTCTGCTCACCCTTCCCCCACCACCCGCGCCGCTCAACCCAGCGATTCCCCGGCTAACCCACATCCACCTCGCCTTCGAAGCGCTCCCCATAACCCACCCGGACATCTACGCCCTCGCAACCCTGCAAACGCTGCTCGGGGGCGGTGGGTCTTTCTCGGCCGGCGGCCCCGGAAAGGGCATGTATAGCCGGCTCTACACCAACGTGCTGAACCAGTACGGCTGGGTCGAGAGCTGCGTCGCGTTCAACCACAGCTACACGGACAGCGGCCTGTTCGGCATCGCGGCGAGCTGTGTGCCGGGCCAGGTCGGCCAGATGCTGGATGTCATGTGTCACGAGCTCGGCAGTCTGGGCCAGGAGACGGGCTTTTCGAGACTCAAGGATGGGGAGGTGGCGAGGGCGAAGAACCAGCTGAGGAGCAGCTTGCTCATGAATTTGGAGAGTCGGATGGTCGAGCTGGAGGATTTGGGAAGGCAGGTGCAGGTGCATGGCAGAAAAGTTGGCGTGAAAGAGATGTGTCGCAAGATCCAGGACGTCACTGTTCAGGATTTGAGGAGGGTGGCGAGGGAAGTGTTTGGAGGGTTGGTCAAGAACAGAGGGCATGGCAGTGGTGCACCAACTGTAGTGCTACAAGAGGGAGAGGAGAGGGGCAACAAGGCGCTGGGCTGGCCGGAGATCCAGGAGAGGATTGCGAGGTGGAAACTTGGCCGGCGGTGATGTATAGGTTCTCTCCAGAGTAGCGCTGGGGGCACTTCTTCGATGTTGTAAGATATACGTTGGGAGAGTCTGTGAGAGAAGGATAGGGAAGAAACCTGGCGTTGGGCTCCTGAGGATAAGGAGGAATGTGCTCGAGCTGTACAGATACTACTACCCATATTATAACTATTTACCACTGGCCTGACCAGCGAACACTTCGCTGGCTACCTATGTTCCCTACGGAGCTAGGGGAGAAGTTTTGTATCTGCCCGCCGCTCCCGTGTCAAGCTCCACCAACGACGAGCAAAACTCCACCGAATCGACAACGTAAAGGGCTTTGGGTACCTTGGTACTCAGGTACACTCTCAATGCGCAAACTATAAAGAGGCTAAATTCATCAGCATCTTAAGGCGAACGGGCCCAAGAAAATCGGCGCCCTACGTCACCGTGACCCTCCCCGAGGGGCAATTCTGGGGAAGCTCAAGCTACCCACATATCCCGCCATCATGTACATCTATTCCAGATACTGAGAGTCTTCTCTCACGGCAGACCTCAGGGGTACGACAACCCTCCTTCTCACCGGATCAACCTCCTCGACCTTAATATACCACCCTATTCCTCCTACTCAACCCACAATGGGCCGCACCGAACCCGTAATCAACCTCAAGCCTCAAGCATATAGAAAAGACGCCCGCGCGAAGGCAGCCAAAGCAACCGCGTCCAAAACGATCCCCGCCCTGCTGACCTCCGACCGCCGCGCCCGCGCCGGTGTCGACGCCGCCGAACTGATCGTCAACCCTCCCGCCGCCTCACCCAGCACATCTTCCAGCCAACTCACCGCGTCCAACACCAATGTTGCCGTCCCAGCGCCTCCTCCAGCGCCTCTTCGTATACGACTTCAGGTCGCGGACTGCCTCACCGCCGCGCGCACCCTCCTCTCCCTCCCACCAGCAAAGTCCCCGCCGAAACCCCCACTAAAAGCCCCACCCAGAGTCGCACTCCTCAATCCAGCCTCTCCCCTCCACCCCGGCGGCGGCTTCCTGAACGGAGCTACCTCGACCGAGGAGTTTTTATGTATGCGCACCACGCTTCTGCCCTCGCTGCGGGATGAGTTTTATCGACTTCCGGATCTGGGAGGGGTATGGAGTCCTGATGTGTGTGTTTTTAGGGGAGGGGGGTGGGAGGGGGGGACGGGTGTGGAGCTTGGGAAGGGGGGGAGGTGGTACGTCGATGTTTTGAGTGCCGGAATGTTGAGGTTTCCTGATGTTGTCGAAGTCGAGGTTGAGGGAGGTAGGAGTGGGAAGGCAGAAGTGGCGGGAGAGGAGAAGGGGGGCACGGAGAGGAGGTACGCGAGCGTCAAGGACCGAGATATGGTCCTCCGCAAAATGAGGGCGGTGATGCGGATCCTGTGTCAGAAGAAGGTGGAGAAGGTCGTCCTGTGTGCGTGGGGCTGCGGCGCGTATGGGAATCCGGTTGGCGAGGTTGCACGGGCGTGGCGGAAAGTGTTACTAGGTGGGGGTGACGAGGGTAAGCGGAAGAGAGGCAGTAAGGGAGGTGCCGCAGAAGAGACCTGGGAGGGAGTGAAGGAGGTGATGTTTGCGATCGCGGATCGACGCATGGCTGAGGGGTTTGCAAGGTGCTTTGGCGCGGGCCTGGAGGTTGAGATGACGGAGTCGAATGAGGGTGTGGAGGCAAATCCAGAGGACGACGGGTCGACGCAAGCTATCGAGGAGCTGCAGGCCAAGGTTGCGGAATTGCGGATACAGATTAGCCAAGTCAGGAGTCCGCATCTGAAGTCACGCTTGCAGGAGATCCTTAGCGGCCTGGAGAAGGATTTGGCAGACAAGGCAGGGTCGGCTTTGAGCGAGTCAAGCGGAGCCGAACACGAAGGCGGAACTGAGGACGGCTTAGGCGGAGAGAGTAGCATAGCCGAGGAAGTTCTTGAAGTAGAGGACGACGATCAGGACGAAGTCAGTGAGGAGGACGAGATTTCAGAAGGCTATGTTGGCTCGTCTGAAGATGAACCACACTCTGTAGATGAGTCGTACAAGAAGAGCTAGTGTGCGACCGATGACTGAGAGGTTCCAAATGACTACGTCTATTAAGTGTCTGGCGGCGATAGAT